GAAATCTTAATTTGAAAGTTGATAAAATTTTGAATAAATATCTATTACTTCCTTTTCCTATTTTCCCTCGAAAGTTAGATATCTCTGATACGGAATGTTCCAATAGGACAGTCAATGCGAGTCGCTTATGGCCAGAATTTCGATACGAAGCCACTTTTGCATAGTAAAACTCTGGTAATTGACATCGTTTTCTAGAAATATCTTCCTGCAAAGCTTTGCCAAGCTAAGAGCTACGTACTAAATTGAAGTATTTACAAGCAATGTGAAATATGAGAATATGGATTAAAAAGTAGCTCTTGCATCGAGTTATATTTTCGGCATTCATTTCTATCTTGTAATGATAGCCGTTATAGAATTGAAATAGATTCGATATTTGTTACTAGACCCGTAATCGAAAACGGCATAGATGAGAACCTTTTCTGTCATGACAGCTATAATAACATTTCGATTTCTCATAATTATTTTGAAATGGACTTCTATATAAGAGTTATTAACAGTTATTTCTGGAACCGTTTCAACTCCTACCACGAATCGATCAAAATCAGCCGAAAACAGAATGAAATACGAACGACCAATCTGTTTCGAATCGAAAAAGTAACTCTTCTCTCTCGTTTCGATTTTATCCACTTGGTTCTTTTGTCTCCTTTCTCTCCTTCCATTGTCCATTTCTCTGTTCAGCCAACTCACCCCAATTCGAAGATCGATTTAAGATAAAACATCGTATGGAACGTCGATTTAAGCTGACGCGTCGTTTCATTAGGACCGCTTCGTTAGGAATTTTAGGAAGGCGACCGATTGGTAAAAACTCCAGCCTGTCGTTAATCCTGATTTCTCTTTACAACCCCTCTCGAGTTCCATTGTCGCATACGATTAAATCGTATCTACAACGTAGTTTCCAAGAATAAAGGTGAATTTGAACGACGAAGAAAAGTATTCGAAACCTGTATTCAGAGATCGTTAATTTTTTAATTATTCCAACATTATTTTATTTAACGACAAGTAAAAGGAATAGATATTATTACCGTGGATGACACCCAAAGATGATCGTCCAATTTATGAACTTTTACGTCCGCAACAGTCTGGCATGTACCGCCGTTTTTTTCATTGGAAACACCAAACATCGATTTAAACGGATGAAACGTCATCGTACAAGGGTGGAGTAGAACCAAAGGACAATTAACGATGCAGCTGCATCTGACAACAGAGCGGTCGCGTCTACTACTCGATCACTCCACGATGATAGCTTTTCAAAACATACCTATCGCGCTTAACACTACGCTCCTCCCCTCCCGCTCCCCATATTGTGCATCGTGTCAACATTTCCCCGATGGAATTTCCCTTCTATCGTTTCTTCCTGACAGTTTAAAAATCGATCATCCTCGCCGAATTGCCTGATTTCGATACCTTCCTTACATCGTACCTTCAAATTTTAAATAGATTGTAGATTCTTGCTACTTTCCAAAGAGAAATATTTACAAAATGATGCTAATTACCAAATTTCAGCACATAAAGGCTCCAAGATGTTAATCGTCCTACTGAAAGTTTTCCGCATCAAGGGCACGCTTCTCCAACCTTAGTAACGACATTAATAACCTTAAAACAGAATATTCAATTCAATGCACTAAATTACAGAAAATAACGATTACCCGAAACCATCTCTGAAACCGAAATTTATATCACAACACATTCCAAACTCTGTTCCATTCTATTTCCATCTCCATATTCATCTGAATTTCCAAATTCCGTCCGCCCTTTTGTTGTATCTCATTTTGGCGCGATTCCCCACTTCTGCAACAAGTGTTGTCCCTCTGTATTATTTTCAACTTCAAACCTAACCTTAGCTTTAATCTATATATAGCTTTAATCTATAATAGATAACTTGTAACACGAAAGACACCAAGAGATACAACAAGATGCTAATTAGACGCAAAACTGATAAATAACCTGTATTTTTCACGACCGAAACTTTATATAGATGCGTATAACGTACGTATATTATGATTTTCTTGGTAGATCCCGCGCAACAGTTGAACGGTAACGCAACATCCGGCGCTAGACACGTGACGGAGAAACGCAAAAACAGACAGACGCGCTAAACTAAACCAGATCACGTTGACGACAGTGACGGGAACAGAGTAAACTAAAATAATTATGGGTCTGGAATGACGCGTTCAACGATGGGCGTGTTCCCGACACTGGTTTAATTGTTCAAAACTACTCGTCAGTATGCACTTAAACGAGTACAAGTGTACCCTACACATCTACGGCAACACAACCTCTACGTGGCATCGGTTTAGTATAGGAATTTCTGTGTTCGTAATGGCTCACGTCATGAGTGAAATTTCATACTATGTTATAGCGAGAAAGATTATAAATCATATCCTCCTCTAGTTTATACATACTCAATTGTATGCTCTTCTTCCCGCCTTTTCCCCACTTCATTCGCTCGATGATCGATATTGGTCCAATACGTAATAGCATCTTTCGTTTCCACCAATCAATTACTCGTAATGCTGAGTTATCTGTCGACTTAGGAAATATCTCTATATACTTTTTCAATGAATTATTCGACGATTTTTCAAACATACCGTGTAATAGTTCAAATAATTCTCAATCGAATCTATTGTAATTGCGACGCAATTGTAATTACGACGCAATTGTAATGACGACGCGATTATAATTGCGTCGCAATTGTATTGCGAAAGATGGGATTCGAAACCGTATTTGAGATATTGAAATTCATATAGAATTTAATCTTTAGTTGCAAATTCCTCATGATTCTGAAACGAATTCATACGCTATTTACTTTCATAGGATTTCAGAAAATTTAATATTCCAATGCAAAAGGAAATACGTGAAAGCTGTACGATCATACTAAGGAAAATGGGAACAAATGGTTTGTTGCTCCAATACAAACTAGCATAGATTCTTGAGACAAATTGATGTAAAAATTGATCGAAAAAATCGCGATTTTAAAAATTTTTTTTTTAATTAAGAAATCACGTTTACACTTAAAGAGGTTGTAATATGATCGACATATGTACATCTTACTCGTAAAATGAATAAATCTTACTCTGTTACGAAACAAAGAAAAATAAGCTATCTGGTAATATTTTTTACAGAGAAATTAGAATATTAGGTATTTTAACCTTAAGAATTTTTTTTTAACATAAGTAGAGTGTATCAGAGATTTGGAATGTTATATGAAGAAGAAATTGCAAGTGGCGTGATAATAATCGTTTATTATAAATAACTATTAACACGTTCTCCTGTCACATACATCATTTTACGTGTTTTATTTCGCTTCGTTCATTGCTTAGGAATCCATGCAATAGTATACGTTACAATGGAGCATTTTATCCAGTTACTTCGGAATTACAAACATTTACTTGTAATGCGATATAATTATTCGTGTGACGATTATTTACAGAAAGAACGATCATCGATACTGGCGGTGCAATTCGACCAGTAATTTTACAGCTAACCGTAATAATTCGCTGATAGAAAACGGGACAATGCTTTATGAGCAGGAATCCATACATGGCCGAGGGATTGCTGCGTCTTTGATAAAGCCATCGTCAGTTTTTATTAATTATATCAAATGCAATGGTGTTCCGGATTATCCGAATATCCATAGTTCGTTCTTTTTACTTGTGAATAATTAACGGATTTAATATCATCCTCTCTTCCGTTGTTTTCGCTTCTAATCGATCCGATTCAAGTTGTTAAAAAGAGAAAAAGAGAAGGGAGAAAATAGAAAACAAGAACTAAAAATGCTTGAATGAGAAGGAAAATATATCGTCGCTTGTATGCAAGTCTCAATTCTTTTAAAAATGATGGTTGCTCGATAAAATCTGGTCTTGTTGTTTTTCGATGAAGTCGTCGAAAGGAATTTGGTGTTGAAAAATATGCGATCGTTTTTAAGCCGAACACGTCGTACTATTATTTCCCGTAAAAAATACAATGCGGACCGTAATCGATACAGGCACGATAAATATTAAATCACACTGCGCACACGTATCAAGTGCTAACTGCATCATGCATTATGGATCAATTTTCTGCACTGTTTTCTACTCGTAAATCGAGTGCAATGCGATACTGAGCTAAACAGTTGAGACGATTTACAACGAAAAAGTATAATCGGTAGAGAAACGAAACTAAATGTTACAACGAAAAAACGATTCCCAACCGTAAATAAAACTACTCGACTCGTACAAAATTACATTGTATAGATACATAGGTACAGTTCACTCATATCTAAGAGTGATTGCTCGTTTGTTTCGATAATATAAATGGCCGTTCTTCGGTAAATAAAATTCGTATCGTTGTTTCATATTGTTTCGTGCTCATTATCAATATCGTCTCATTCGCTGGAACATGTCTCGTTTAAAGTCAGTCGCATTGCTATTAGGGAGAGTTACCAGCTACGTAAACGAGGAACACGTATAATAAATATCAAATAACAGTTGTTACTTATGATAATACGAAGTAGTAGAATGCAGCGTACATATAGCATAGCAGTTGCCACAGAGAGTACCTACTATGTACGAGTTTGTCACATTCACACTAGATTTTTAATCGTTGGCTATTTCTTGCACTTTCCCTTTTTTACCGATTCAGTCTCTTCGTTCATATCTGTCATCCTTCTACACTCATTCTTTGTCTCTATTCTTCTTTATCCCTTTACATAATTCTTTCAACTCATCGTCTCTCACTCGTCTTTTCTTTTTTACCAAATCTCTCGTCCACGCATACCGACACATGCATGCATATGTTTACTCTCTTCGTTTTTCAAATTCTCCTCATTTTATCGATATCGTCATGTGTTCAACAAAAAGATACAGTAATCCTTCATTCATCTAACCACTCGTCAATCAACTGAAACTTGCCCACATAACTAGGATTTCCTTTCATCTTCGGTCAGTCCGTTATTTGTCCGTCATAACACAAACAATATATACTTTTCAAAATGTCCAACAATGTCTATTAACATCCTTTAGCTATTCACACACTTTTGAAACCATCTTCTCCATCTCAACGTCTGTGTCGATGTCGTGGTGTACGTGATTACTGGCACTAGCATCGCTGATGGAACCAATAGAATTACTAATTGGTGTAGAAAGTGTGCTGATTGGAGGAACCGTTGACGCTGGTGGCGTATTTGGGGTACCAGGAGTGTCGGACAGTTCAATTGGCGAACCCGGTGACGCAAGTGGTTCTACTAAATCCTCTAAACCTGCAGGAGTTGGTAGTTTACTCAATTCTTCTCTCAATAAGCTATAGTGTCTCTGAAAAATATTAAAATATAATTGCAAAATACTCTAATATGTATGGATCAAAATAAAGTTGTTAAAATAATATGTAACAAAATCATTCATTACTCTTAAAGTTAATGCGTTTAAGGAGAGAGTGCGCCCAAATCTACGATCTAACCCATGTAACTCCATATCCCTTATCCATCCTTCCAGCTGTGCAACAATCTCATGTCTCTTTATCCAAAAGTGAGTATGTATAACCTACGAAATGATAACCAAATACTAATGTAAAAATAATTCAATTTTCCGATAGTATATAATTAATTAAATAAAATTACCTCTTTGAAACAAGGGCATGGATTGCGAATTTGATCAAGCATTGCCCACTTAGCAGTAGCCTGACAAATATTCGCATTATACTCTTGACTAGATTGAGCTCCGCTCGTCGTACCTCGCGATCGTTCATATCCTGGTTCATTGAAATAAGGCTCTGATACCAAGATTAGTGATTGTATTGATACTAAGACCTGTTTTGATATTAAAAAAAAAAAATTCTTAGTGAATGATTTAATACGCAAGCATCGACTATAGTTTGGTAATGTTGGTACTTACCTGCAGGAAACTACTAGTGTGAGCATTCCATTTTTCTTCAGGACGACCGTGCCAGGTATTCAATACACTCAGACAGACTTTTCCATCGTTGTATAAATTTGGATTAAATCGTACGGTATGACGACCAGTAGTTTCTAAATTTATTAACATGGGACTGTTAGGATAGTCCGGAGGAAAGTACACATCAAACTCAAAACAGCCGTTTGCATATGGCGTTTCTGCTGGCCCTGTTATGAGTACCTGAAAAGAAAAATTTAATATTAATGTCAATAATAAACTACACTTAATGTTTTTATTATTTCAGTTACTTTTTTCACTCATTTATAAAATACCTTCATCACATCCAATCTATCTGCATCGCACCTAACGAAAACACTACTACTGTACGACAAAGGTAATGCTGTGGAAAGTGTAACGGCCTCTTGTGCTAATCTCTTCACCCTTGTAGGATGACTCCTTTCACCAGCTGCCCTCATAGTAGACTCAAAATGATATGAGACTGCAAACTTATATCCACCAGCTTCTGGATTTTCAGTAATCATTTCATACGTATCTACAATTATATATATCAGTTTAAAATAATACAAATGTATGGCAAGTAATAAATAAATCATAAAGGGCATATAGTTTCTTACCGAACTGTAAACTTTTCATAACTTCTATGTATCGTTGCTCGATAGAACGCAAAGGTAATTCTGGACCTGTAGGACTAGGGCCGGGTAATTCTTCTTCGATTCCTGACAATCTGGAGGTAGCATTTTGTACTATGGTAGCACTTTCTTGGATGTCAGGAATCAACGTTGCTAAACCTTCGTCCTGCTCGGTATCATCAGGATACTTGAATAGAGTTTTTGACTTATTACTTCTAGTACGATTAATCTTGTGTACGTATGTATCCACGCATACTCTCATATTAGACAAAAGCGATACAACGGATGGTTCTCCAGACTTTCCGCTTCTAGGTAACAAAAGTGGAACTAACTGATTTGAAAGAGCCATAGCTCTGAGCAATTGCAATACTGCACGATACAAAGGAATATGCCTCGCCATATCTAATACCGAGTCATTCCTCAAATATGAAGACAAAGCTGGAAGTAAACATGACCGGGCTAGTAAATCAGAAAAAGACGTTGGCAGTTCTCTTTGCGTTTGTCCACCGGAACCAATATAGCTCGCTAAAACTTGCAATAATACTGTAACGTGCTCTTCTTCAGATCTCTGTCGCATTAAAGCTTGTTCGACATTCCACGACTGCTGTGTAGAACCGGTACCGAATCCTGTACCCTTTGCCCAATATAAATGTGAATTATCATCACTACGTCCTGCTTCGCCCTGGTTACCGGGTATTTTTTGTTCCGAATTTTCATTCTGATTCGTTTGATGAGTAAATACGGCTAAGCAATTCAATAACAAAAGCATAGCACCCACTTCGATGGTTGTTTTACGTAAAAGAAGACCATCATCAGTGGTTGCAGGCGTAGCGTCAAGTAATTGCTTCAAAACTTGGAGTGGCAAAGTTGGTAACAATGCAGCTAATGGTGATGTTAAAACATCTCCACCTTCGCCATCATCTGAAACGCCTAAAGCAAGGCGTAACAAACACTGGGCTCGTTTTCTATCTTTTAACAATACTTCCGCGTAACCTGGAAGTCTAAGGAACAATCCAAATGCAGCAAGTGAAAGTGGCGGCACGTAACCAGCTGGTGATGATGCCCATGAAGAAGAGCTGTTACCATTTTCTTCTACAACTTCACAAGCATCGTCGCTAATTCCTAATTTGACCCACTCCTCGTATGTTTGCTCCGGTGAGGGTAAAGGGACGGGTGGTGGTCTGGAATCTGGATATACCAGCGGTAAATGCCGAGCTAATACCGCTAAACCACCACTAGCACTAAAGACACCCAATGAACTTTCTATACTTCTATAATTTAATAGCTCGCTGTCGTTTTGTTTCATTATGTCTTCTACAAGATAAAAAGAAATTATTAATAAACATACTTAATCAACAAAATTTTGTTCAATTCATACCTTTTGAATCCTTATTCCGTTGACGTAATATAAGATGCAAACAAGGTTCTGACAACGATATTCCACTATCTTCGGCAATAGCTAGAAGCTGGGCGATGGTTAATTGTGGTGGCAGAGGAGTATCTGGATGTGATGAATGTATCAAATACTGTTGATTAGTAGAATTAGTAGAATTCTGTTGAATGTTATTACTTGTTGTTTTGCTTGTACTTGCCGCTCCATCTACTAACATAAAATTTCAAGCAGATTAATTTTATTACACTCCATTTATTGAGTAATAAAGTATAAGATACAAGTGACTTACCGGAATTCATTCGTGACTTTCTTATGACAGGACCACGAGCTTGTGATCTATTTGATGCTTCCTTAGCTCTTTTATCTTTCGCTGTATTTCCGGCAGCTACACTAAGAGTATCCACTATAAAGGCCATACCGGATTCCCAAAGTTCTCGAGAGCGATTATTACTTGATCCAGTTTCATTACTTTTATATGAATTTGGCAACAATAGAAATAGCCAAGTACCTTTTAAAAATATTTCGAATTCGATTACAAATATATTGCGTGTAAGATCATAATTAAGTAAAGAGGAAAACTAACCAGAGACTTGTTGCAGTATATCCGCAACAGTTGACTGAGTAGACATATACAATAATTGATGATAATGTCCGAGTGGATGAGCTGGATGTGGTGGCATAGATAACATACCATAATTGACCGTTGTGTTTGAAACTTTCATCGGTGCATCGGAAGTTACAGACACTAATACTTTTTCACCTTCCAATAATAATTGCAAAATCAATCGTCTCGTGAAACTCGAAATTCCATGAAGGTAGCGTACATCTGTTTAATAAATACCGTATAGCACAAGAAATGAAGAGAATTTAAATTAAAATTAATAAAGTCAACTCTTACTGGAGGTTGTTCGTTGCTGAGAAATAACATCGGTTAATAATTCGGCTAATAACTTTTGATTTTCGAGATGACACCAACAACATCTAGATAAAAATTTAATCATTGCACTTTCTAATGCTGCATATGAAATACTTGTTTTAGAACATCTGTAAAATATAAAACCTTTTTAATATCCAATTTCCTCTTTATGTTTATAAAATATCAAATTGTCCATATAATTCTACCTCAAAGAGGATAAAGATGGATTTTCTACAGGTCGATTACTAAGAAGAGAAAGAAGGGGTAACCAAAATCCAAATCCTTCTTTCCCAAGCCAATCGCGCATTCTACCTTCCGAGCACACAAGTGTCAAAAATTCTAAAATCATCGCTATACTTTCTGGTTCCGTCATACATAATCCATCTAAACAATAATAATTATAATTACATCTATGAAAATTGCAAAAATTACAAATTTTCAAGAAACCCACCAAAATAATTATTTGTATCCATGGTAGTTTCCCCAACTTTGTCGTTATCCGTTAAACCTCCCAAAGTATTAGCCTGACAACTATCCTTTACAGATATTCGACTGCTTTGCGAAAGCTCTTGTCGCGAATTTTCCAAATTACAAAAATCTATACAAGAATTTTATTTTTTGATTAAAAAATCATTAATTTTTTAAATATTTATCTCATAAGGTAATCTCTTACCGATGATCAACATTGTCAACGAGGCAAGAAGTCCAGAATCAATCAGTTGCTGGATACCTGATGGTGATCGAGCAGCTGCAGCTACAGTGAGTAGCTGCCCTTCTGTTAAATTTAATCGTTTATATTCTGATAATACATAACGGTAGTACCATTCTTCGCTATTAAATTCGTTCTTTCTATCATCTGTTTGCCCTTCTCTTTCCTTACGATCATCTGATATAGATGCAGAATGATCAGTCGCCATATTAGGTACTAAGATTCGTACTCTTTGGAGAAGCAAAGGGAATAATGTAGGTCTCACGTAGCAAAACGCACAAAGAGCAGAATCGATTGCCTGCTTTAAAGCAGAACCATTTCCCAAAATTAAAGTCCACTGATATAAAGCACTATTAAAAACACAAATTATATTAAAATCTATTAAATGAAAACAGAATTAATTAATATATAGAGAAATGATAAAGAATAGAACTTACTTAAAAAGCTCATCAGTTAATAAAGCTGGTAAATCATAATTAAGATTTTGCTGTTGATGAGCTTCCCATATAATGGAAGACACACAATGGATATATACGGCAGGCGAATTAATAGCGTTAGGACCATTACTGGGCCGAGAAATTCCATTTACTGCCGATGCATGAAGCCACGAAAGCACTGTTGTCATACGAGCTTCTGTACAAGAATCTTGAATAGAACATAATTGTTGAAGCAATTCAACAACCAATTGAACAGTTGATGTTTCTTGTGTAGTTGCGGCACCTGTAAGATATGAACCAAATAAATTTAAATTCTGTATGCCTTTAGAAAAATATATTTGGAAAAAAAAAAAAGAATAGGATCAATTCCCAAGAAAAGCAATACCTTGAAAGAAAGAGGTAGACCTGTTGTTGAGTAAAAGACCAATGAGTCGAAGTCCAAGCTCTCGAGAATGTAAGCCTAGTTGCAATAGAACCCTCTCCAGATTGGAAGTAAAAAGAGATGGTGCTGGGAGTAACAGGAGATTACAACATGCTTCAATCAGTCCTTCAACTGAAGCTGCAGAATTAAGCACTTTAACAGCAAGATTGCTGTTCAACGTGCACACGGATAAACATTGATGCAGCAATCGCAACCAACCCAAGCTAGACAGATATGTTATAAAAATGTACATTTAGACCTATAGAAGATCTCTTCATAGTGTATACAATTAAAAACTATATCAATAAACATACAAACATACAATACAATCACCAAAAGAATTACCTTGACTTAGTAAGTTGTTCTTCATCTATTGTATCATGACTGGTTTTTATTTCACCAAATGCCGTTGTACCTAATAACTTGATTTGACTTAGACTTATATTTCTTGAGTCACGTGGTTTGTATAATCGTACAAGTACGGACGTTGCCACTTCTGGTTGCGATAAAGTGATGCGTATAGATGTCAAGCCTGCAGTAGGCATTGGTGCACAAACAGGTCTTAGAGGACTATTGCTTTCTCTTGAAACTTCAATAGCTACAGCTGACGGACACGCTATTAAATAATAACACAGTATATATTAAAGTGCAGCACAAAGTATAACTCACTTATCGTGTATTATTACTAGAAATAAATCTATATATCTTACTAGCTAAAGATGTAAGATGTGGTTGTAATTCTACTTTTCTCAATAATATAGCACAAGGTAAAGTAATCATAAGGTCAACCCATGGTTCATCAGGAAAACAATGATATAACCACGCAGCCGTCCTTGCCCGTTTGTGTTGTGTAGAATTTTGTATAAGGACACTTGCTGGTTGGGCAGCAGGATTAAACCAAGATATTATACCCAAAGGAGCAAAGTTTAATAACCCATCTTCATAAGTTTCTAGTGTATTCATAGACTTCTTGCTACTTGAAGAAGCCACTGATAGCACATTAGGAACATTGGAAAGATGTTCCATTACTAATGCAATCACACCAGGTGAAGTAGAATTGACATTGCCACTGTTACTTGATTTTACTAAGTTTTCACAAAGTATTTTTACACCATCCATTGCTGTAAACATTGCCAGTGATACTTCATTGTCTAGAACTCTTAAGATATACCAAAGAAGAGGCTCAGACAATTGCATAACACCCAACTGTCGATTTACTTCTCTTTGTCCACAGACTACAAAATGATGTACACAATATAAAAATATGTTACTTAAAAATAAAAATTTCTAAATATAATAATTCTTACAGGATGAAAGATATTGATAAAGTGGATTGAGAACTAAAGTGCGATTGCTTGCTTTTTTAGTAAGAGTAGTCAAAAGTTGGAATGTAGCATCTAATACCGAAGCAGAATCGTCAAATTCAGTTGCTGTTCCTGCACCAGCACTTTCAGCTAAAAACACAACTAAAGATGAGCCAGTGCTATGTCCTAGAGCTCCCAACAATCGCATCATGGTAGGTTCATGTTGCAAAACTAAAAATTACAATATTTTAACAATTAACGTTTAACTAAAACAAAATTGCTGCATTTGTATACACACCAGTATCTGCAACGCATCGTACTCGAGGTTTGCTAGATGTACACTGTTGCAAACGAGACGAAGATTGTTGCTCCGCAACTTTGCTTTCATCCGTTTGTGAAATATTTACTTTCATTTGAGTATCATCAATATCAGTTGTTATATCGAAATTCGTCTCAGAAAGATCGATTCTCATTGACCCATCTGTTCGATCTGTGCAGGTCTACAAGAATACAAGATTAAAACATGAAACTAAATTATAAACATCTTTTTAATATGGAATATTTTAGATAATATTATATACCTCTGGCAAAGGTGTTTGAACAAGTCGACATACTAATTTTATAAGAACTATAATTAAAGTATCCCATGACGTTGGACAATCTAATCTACAACCTCTGCCATATACACAAGCAAATAAACTCTCGAATCTATCAGATGAATTTGCTGTATCACCAGTACCACCACACTGAGCACCAACTATGATAAAACACAGATGTAGAAAACAAACTGAGTAACAATTCACTAATAGGCAGATTTATTCCAGTTCACAAAATTACCTTTAGAACCCCTAACGTAAGTAGAAACTAGTACTCCGACGCATTCTGTTATACTTATTGCAGTTTCTAAGTCTGTATTGACAAAATTTAAATTCGTTAATGATGTTATAAGTTTGCATTGTGCGTCTAAAGGCCCCCTCCTTGCAGAAAGAGCTCCACCGGGCTGTATAAGTTGGTATATCACCCACAATAAGAGTTGCTTTAATGAATTTCCTAAAGAGCTACTAGGGGTAATTACGTCGCATCTCATTTTTAATCTAACTAAGAAATATTGTAATGCTAGGCAAACAGTAGGACCAGCCTAAAAATTATACATTGGAATATAATGATATAAAGTCACAAAATGTTATAAAATATTTAGTACTTGAAAAGATTTATAAGCATACCATAATATACTGTTTGTCCATAGCATTAACATTTAATCCACTTCCAGAAAGTAAACGTAAAAGCATAGGACCCATATTACGATCTTTTACAATGCATCCAGCCATACCACCCAAAACACCATCTAATGGTTGTCTACTATTTGCAGCTTCAGTAGAATCTGTCTGTAATGGCTGATTACTTGCTAATGTCAAACACTGAAGAGCAAGGCACCAAGCACGTAAAGAAACTCCCGGATGCCTATAAATTTTTTTTTTAATTTTTATTATTTCAATCTTTTAATTGAAAATTTTTATTAACAAAGTAAAAAGACTTTATATTTATATTTATATATAAATTTTATATTTACCAAGATAGTGCAGATATAAGACTTGAAATGGCTGTTGAACTCAATGGTATAACAGGTGAAAGTGAAGGATCAAAACGATTTATAGGATTAGATCGTTCTGAAGAAGCATCTAAATTCAATGTTAACCAAAGCTGCAGAATAAGTTCCAAATTCGTTCCTATATTCTGTTATAAAATAAAATAAATTTTTAGTATATTTTAAATTCATTGGGAATTACATGAAAATGTATGAATCGTTAATAATATAAATTGTTGTTCTTCTTTTAATATTACTCACTTGTAAGTATAATTCTGTAAATAATTTATCAAAACATCTAGTTAACATTATTAAATTTGAAGAAGTTGTATCAGGTGAATTCCAAACATCTTGACTTCTTTCATTCCAATTAGGTTCTGCTTTCGATGTCGACTGTTGATTACATCGATTTGATTCTGATGATACCTTTTATAGAAAAATTAAAAACAAATTTTATTCAGATCATATTAGAAATAAACATAAACGTCATTAACTCACATGTATTGTGGTACTTATACTGTAAGGTAAATTATACATGCTGAACATAGACAATATCCTCAATGATATTTCTATTCCCATTTCTACTCCGTATTCTAATCTTGCATCCATTGCTAAAGAAATTCTATAAAGATTTATAATTGATTTAATTCTTTAGATAACTAAATGATATCCAAATATTTTTATATTTATACCATACCCAGACATGTCCACATTCTTAGGTAATGGATGACCTTTCTTCAAGGTATTTCTACCACATTCTAGAATATCACCTAAAAAATCTTCAAATTCACTGTCATCAGACTCCAAAAGAGAAGGCAAAAATCCATTAGATTTTGATATTGAAGCAGGTTCCGACACCACCATTATATTACCATCTTCGTCTTCGTCGCTTCCTGCAAATCCTTCATCGTTACCAAGAGGAATAAAAGTAATATTTACATCGGCAGCAGTACATTCTTCTTCAGGTGTTCGACTTCTTTCCGTAACAAGAGATTCAAAATTTTCTTCAGTGGGACTTCCTTCATGAGTAGAACACGTTTTTGGAATTAACTTTCCACCTGTAATGATAAACAATTAATAAAAATGATAAATACAATAAAAACTATTTTATACCTTCTAATAAATCCTGCAAAAGGCACGAGACTGCATGTGAAGACCAGGCCGCGTCGGAAGTACCCGTTGCCAATCTGACTAATTTTAAGAGCTGTTCTTCGCTCATAAGCTCACACAAACTAATTGCAGGACGTGTAGATATCACTAGCCTAGCGACTACCTATAAAACACATGGTAAAGCAGTTCAAAAAATTGCGCCATAAAAGCATAAAGCTTGTTATGTATTAAAAATCCTTAAATATGTCTACAAGCTTATAATATTGATTGTACATTGATATTAAAATACTAAGCATTAGTACAACTAAGATATCACTGAACTAGTTTTTATTTATATTTCATTCAAAATAAGTAAATAATACAAAAGAAAGATAAGATTTATTATTACTCTTTACATAATAGACAAAAAGAAAAAGAAAAAAAAGATCAACTTACTTTCCATACAAATCATAATACTTTTGAATCAAATTTACTTACCTTGCAAGCTAGTAGAAACATGTCTACATTAGCAGAATTATACAAAATAAGAGCAATAAGTCCACGTGCCACAGGCAAAACATGCTGATGTGATAAGTTGGATACACATTCAACATCAAAATCCGTTGTTTCTGATTTGCTGGAACTTATATGAAATAAACAACTTTTAATAAAATTAAAGATTGGTCTCTCTTATATAAATTTTGATTACAAACCTCGTATTTGCTTGTGATTGCGAACTGCGAGAAGTATCATTTTTACGAATACTAAGAATATCCTTGAGATGCTTGGTAGAATTTTGTTTATATGTTTTCTTAAAAAACTGTTCCTGTGATTTTAATGTTGCTTGCATTTTACTGCATAATGATGAATGCGATGAGAAATTAGTCCATCCCTTTAAGAATTATATCATTTATGAATGTTTGTTTAATATTAGTCGTACTTATTATTATAAAAATAGAAAGAAGTTAATTTCATACCTGAGATGAGGTATGAAATGCTTTTTTTGCTTGCTCTAACTCTTGAAGCTGTTGCTTATGGTGCATTACATGTTTTTGCAATTTCTTGCGGGAACTACAAGCTGGAGAACGATAGGCATTCCCATATTTTCTCTGCATTGCAGATTCTCCTTGAATAAACTCCCAGCGAGATAATAAACCTTTTAAAAGAATTTTTACGGAAATCGAAGTTCAAAATATCAATATTATTATTCATAAAAAATACGTGTGTGTGTGTAATACCTTGTTCTTTAGTTTTTTCATTAGTCTTTTCTAAACCAGCAGATGGGATCGCTATAGTATCCAAACACACGGATAAGAAAAGTAGTACCCAGCCAATAAGTGTTACATCTAAATGATTTGCATCTGATGTTTGAGCATTTGATAATGGTGCTAATAATTTGCCTAACGTGCGAACCATAGCATCTATCACAGAAAATCTATTAACTCCGCCAATCAATGATTTACGTCCAAGAAGTATTAGTAAAATAAATACTCTAAAAATGATAAAAGAAATTTTCGTTTTAAATATTCTTAAATTTCATTACAAAATTGAGATCATGTTGTACCTGTCTTGGGGAAATATGTGCGTAGACGATGACGAATAGAGATTAATTAAAACATTAGACAAGAAATTACCCCACCAAGGTTGATGACCAGCCATACGTGTTAAAAGTGCAACAGCTTGTAGTTGCAAACGGGGAATTGGTGTAACAATACAAACCGAATGAAAAAATTTCTCACAAACTGTTGGTGTAAAAACATCGCATATTGATAATGGTATCTATAAGGAAAGAAGACGAATGTACAAAATTTTAAATTAACATAATAATGAAAACTATAATATATAAAAATTAAAAAACATACACTAGGTATTGGACCAATTTCATATACTGCAAACAATAGGATATCGAGTAAAGTTTCTCCGAGAGCTCGCAATTTATCAGTAGGTGCATTTGCTAAGGACATTGTAGATATGGTCTGAGAACCTTTCCATGATTCCAATCGTTTCCATACACCACGCACAACATTTAATTGATGTTGAAACATTATGCACTCCTAGAATGTACATGTATATTATTTACATATATGACTACACTTTATATCAATTTATTTTATTCAACTTACTTGATAAGTGGCCAGTATTTTTGCAGATGGTTGCTCTTTATTTTCATTAGGTATTTTACTAAAAGAAAGATAGTGCTGCATGTGCATAACATTAGTAGTTTCTGAACACAACAGTGGATCCAATAGGCTTTTTAGTTTTTCAGTAGCTAGGCTAAATCTAAAAGAACAAATATTAAGGTGCTTAGACATAGTGGATAAGTCCTTTCTTTTCTAAGAAATACATTTTAAATACCTGCAGTGAACATCTTCCGCGAGAGCGGATAAAATATTGCACTGTGTATTAATAGTAGCTTGTACATTAGAATCAAAAGTATTATCACAAGCTGATGAACTACTATTTAATTCCGCATAATCTTCTCCAGGTAAAATCATGACATGTCCATAAAAAATTCCTAATGGAATTTTACACATAGTAGGAGACATTCCAAACCGACCAATGAATATAATCTAAAAGCAACAGAATAGTTTTCTATTGTGATACAAATGAGTAATAGATTAAACTAAATGAAATAAATAATTTTAGTTGCTATAACAATGATAAGTATGATTAAGTACCTTCAGATATCTACAAACAGGTGGTGGTTGAAGATCAGATACAACTAATGACCTATTTCCGATATCACCAGCCACAATGAGTCGCGTACCATCAACTTCTTCTCTCTTTGTCCATATATCTATAGCCAAGGATGCTAAATCACTGCAGCAGGGAATAATCAAATCCGTAAGCAATACGGGTGATCCAAAGTCAAGAATAACAAAACGGCGTGCACCAGCATGCATTCGATCAATCACCAATGCCTGTTGTGGTGGCCAACATAATAATTTCCCCCATGGAAATGTAATATCTTTTCGCTGAAATGCATACAGGTAATACATATTATTTTTTTAATAAGAATTATTTTGAAAATTATTAAATATCTACTTCATTTCTACTTTGTTATGAAATAAATCATAGTCATTCAAACAAATGCATAAAAAATGCAAAAATAAATCATTTCATTCTATGAAACAGTACATTAGGAATAAATGTTTCAAAGAATTAGAAATATGGGTAAAATCAATTTTTTTTTCTAATATCACTATGTATACATCATTTCCATTTTCTATACAATTTAATAACAGAAATAATTTGTATAAACAAATTATTATTCAAAACTAAACTGTTATGACTATATAAAAAATAAATTATGACTTAAAATTTCATAATTTAGGAAGAAATGTATACATCACATCTATATATGTAACATTAAAAGCATTAAATAGAAATAAAATCTACACATTTCATTTAATCAAACCAATGAAGCCAATATGTGAAATAAAATCGAAAACAATATTACACTCGCAAAATTAAACGAGGAAGTAGATTTAGGCAATTTTTTATCACTGGAATTTTCCGTGCGTTGAATTTATAAGAAATCAGTATAAGATCTGTGTAACTGGATAATGTCTTTATCACACCTATGTTTTATAAATCTTACGGATAGGACGATGTGCAATTTGGTAAAATGATATCAAAATGACATTGATATTAAATGTATCCTAATGCTATCATGCAATTTTCAATTTGTGTATCTAGCTTTGTACTTGACACATTAACAAAATTATATAAAGTCAATTACAAACAGCATATTAATAAAGCTATAAAAATTCATGGTAACGACAAATCGCCGAACTGAGAAACAGAAAGAAAAAGGTGCAACTTCTCATCTATATAATCTACCTTTTTAGAATTGCTGTCTTCAACTTTGTTTACAGTAGTATTGATATTTGGTATGGACGACTTTTCTTTTGTTACAGTAGAACTTAATATATGGGAAGTAGGCATGTCATTTTGTGTATTATGCCATGTCTGATTGTTGATAAGCATATCAGTAACTTCATCACATTCTAATTGATTAGGTATGAATATCACTTGTGGAGCTGGCTTCTTTAACATTCTTCCTGTACATAGACTAAATAGATCGCTTAACATAGGTGTTGGCTTAGCCTGAACATCTGCTCCTAGTGACCCAGCATCCAAGTTCTACAATGTACAATGATTTCTATCTGGATTATGTTTCTTCTATTTGAAAAAACATTTATACCATTTATGTTTTAATGTTCAACGCTAAATGACTGCAATGGATTTAACTGTTTTAATTAAAAAACAGAAATTGTTGAATTGCCTGTTCTATTTTTCCATATTGCTTCATAGATAACGATTTTTTTTCGTTTTTTACCAATGCGAGTATTGTCATGTTTACATCAAATTTAAAGTAATTGCATGCTCCATGAAATTGTTACATTTAGAATGTGACAGAAAAAAGGAAACAAAAAGGATATAGGAATTGTTGATACATTAATATAGAAAAAAAATAAATTGTGGAAACTTACATAAGTATGATGAATGGTTTTAATGTCGGGTACGCCATTGTTATTTGTAGCTGTACTATCATAAAGAGGAGCTCCAATATTATTTGAATTCATACATGGATCAATTTTCTCCATCTTGGTACCATCAGAAGCAGCAAAACAAGTAAAATGAAGAGGCTCAACCTAAATTATTGTAATTTTTATTCACTTTTGTAATATCTAATACTTTCTACCAAATATTGTTGTCTTGTTAAAGTTTTTTATAATGAAAATAAATTACCTCTAAAAGTCCTTTCATATTGTGATTAGCACATAAAGCCTTCAACTTGCTAGACACCACAAGTTCACTAGTTGGGTGTGTAGGCAGTGTAAGTAGGTCCCTCAAATCAATAGCATCCTGAGAATACATAGAACTTGATGAAGCAGTTGACGGTCCTGTCTGTTCATTAGCTACTGATGATACATATGTAGGAGATATTGGACTGTATTTGGGAGGCATTGGTGATTCCAAATCAAATAGTTCGGTCTCAAATGGAGAATTATACAAACCAAATCTGAAAAAAATTAAAAAATTTTATTAATATTATATTAAACGGGTGTAACAAAAATATATTATAGTTAAAAATTAAATTATACCTCGTTGCAAGTAATAAATGATATGGATTTACACGATTTGATATTTCTGCAGAAATTTGTTGTATTAAAGAAATACATTGTTGAGCAATACTGTGATTTCTATCTCGTAGCACAATTCTATTAATTAATAGTTGTAACCAACGTAATGAACCAGCCCATTCAACTTCCACTATTGATGGTAACAATGTTACCAGAACAGACACTAAGGCTTCATCGAAAGATTGAGATGGAGGATCTTCCAAATTATAAAAACCACTAAAAACAGTTTGTAATATTATGTAATAAATTTTATATCTTATATCTCTTATTCAGATATTATATCAGCATTAACTTACATATTACAAAGCATAATTAGCTTTATACACTTGTGCGCTATACTTCGACCAGCATGTAAAAGACAAGTTCTTAATAAATTAAATAGTCGTGCCTGCACAGAGCGAATTGTTTCCAATTGAAAAGTTTTTATTTCAGCACTGTTTTCATTGCTGCGTAGCCTCGTTAATCTAATAGAGGCTATCCATACAAGAATATCTAATGCAAGTGATTGTGCAATAGGAGACCTATAATGTTCAAATATACTATAACGTATTTTCACATAATAAATATAAATTAATCCCATTTATTATTGTTATAAAACTTGTTCTTACTTGTCAGAGGTCTCCAAACAAGCTACACATAATAAATTTTCAAAGCAATTTTTAGATTCCAACATAGCGCATCGCTGCGCTCTTTCATTTGGTATATTGGTAGGATATACTGTTCGAACGGTAATTGATATTTCATAAATCCAATCACAACCTTAAATAAATATTGAAAAAAGAATAAATCATATGAACTGAAAATTATGTAAAATAAAATATCAGTCAAAATCGTATTTACCGATATAAACATCTAATTTTTTACTACTTGCTCCTTCTACAAATCGACGTACTTCGACTATTCTTAACTTTTTAGATGTGGGAGGTTTGTTGTCTGATGAATTTGTTTTCGATTTTGTCGTTGCCTAAGTAAAAAAAAAATATATTATCATGCAATTAAATTTATTTATTAAATTTTTGTATATATTTTAAGCAAGTACTCACGCTATCTTTTGTAGGATCAATTAGAGCCTTAATATGAACAAGAAGTGTCCTAGCTTTAGATCGAAATAGTTTTGGACTAGTCAATGTAACACAACCAGAACGCCACGATAAGTCTAAACTGCGATGCAAATCAATCGGTCCACATAAAATTTCTGTATTATGTTGTCGCTGAAACTCTTCTGTGATCACAGGGTTTTCTCCCTTTTGCTCATTGCCTATATTAAAATCTATTCTTTCATCCACGGGAGTTAATGAAGGATCATGATTACCAATTCTTTTAATATTTTGCTTCAGTAAAGTAATTTGAATTGATGGTAATTCTTGACAAACTGAATGCAAACTAAACCGTACATCTACATGACCAATATTTCCTGCAGCACTTCGAGGAAGAGTTAATTCAAATATATTCTCATCCCAAGTGGTCCTATAATGTATAAAGTAACAAAGCAGGCAAACTATGAAATAAAATTATATCTTTTAAAGTATTCATACATACAGATCATTATGTAAACGCCATGTTCGAGTATGATGTTGATCTTCTGATTGATGAAAATGTTGGGGATGCCGGCGTTGTCTCTGAGCTTGCATCATTTCATTCCAACAAGGAAGAACAGTAGCATCATATGCGGGAGAATGATGATCAAACCGTGTCAGTTCGTAAAGAGTACGTAAATCCGAATACGAGAAATTTAGTTTGTGCGCAAGTAATTGATCTCTGAAAAAGTATAACATTGTATGTATCATTATTTCATAATATTAAATTTCAGATTAAGATATATTAAAATTTCATTTTTAATCTTACTGAGAAGTAGATGATGTTGATGTACTAGGAATTATATTTTTATTACAATTTTCTTCACTTGTCATCATATTTATATCCTCAATATCCTCTTTATCTTCCATAGAGTCTTCTTCATTTGTAGTAATAAAAAAGTGAAGTGCACCATCATTTGTACATGCACACAATCTCTCTAAACCTAGCAGAAATTATATTGTACAAAAACCAGATTTGTTAATAAAAATATAGATTTATATTGAGACTTACTATTACAATATGCTGCAGAAACAAATTTTTTCCCTTCTATTCTTGCTTCAGTAATAGTTTTCAATGAATTTAAATTTAATACTCTGATAACACCATCTCTACATACAAGAGCCACTTGTCCCACAGGTTCTGATGCACTTAAATTAGTAGTAGAACTTCTGCTGAAATTTTCACTGGATAAAGTATATTTATTTTTCTCTTGAAGAGGTAAAAACACGTGTTCAACAGGAGCTTCATCTGCAGATAACTCTCGTTTTACTACTGGTTCAGAAAATATCTTTACCACTTGCCCCGAAAAATCCAAGGCATATACAAGTATTACAGTATTCATATTATTTATGTCATCGTGTATTTTACCATTTATTAATCTATCAGACTGTGTATCATTATGGTCCCAATACACATAACCTTTTTGAGGAAAAAATTCACTATCTTCATCAATATCCATTTGATTATTATTTGAGATTAATGAATCCGTGTTATCTGTTGTAGGACACATAGCAACATATAAATGTTTTCCATCTTTAGATGTTTCAATGTGTGTAATTTTAACAAAATCAGGAGCTTCAATAGGTAAAGTCTTTACAACAACTGGTTCAGTCTTTGTTATTTTCATAATATCCAAACTTTTCTTGTTTGCAGTTGTTAAATCAGATGTTGATGCAAAATGCTTTGGATCAGTAATAGGATTGAAATTAGCATCAAATGAACTTGATGTTGGAGGTACTGTGATACCTATTGGGTTTGAATAAATTCCATTGGAAGATGATGCAGTAAGAGCAGATGTTGGAAAAATTTCATCAAAATGTGGATCAACTACATCTGAATCTACATCCTCTATTACTGGAACCTCACAAAAAAATTTACTAACCAAAAATTCTTGGTATAAATTGTCTTGACGTTCTCCATTTGAACTACCACTAGTGCCTATTTCAGATGATGTTTTTTTAGTATTAGATTCCTTAGTATTACCTTCTTTAATTGGTTGGGTTGTTCCAGTTTTGTGATGAAAATCATAAAATACTAAATAGTGCAATCTTGATGGTGTGTACTTGTCACCTGCTACCTTCATTATATCTAAAGTATCACTGGCAGCACTATTTACACTGTTCATTGCACGGACAAGAGATGATGATGAAGCTAAATCTGTTGAAGCAGCCCACACATTTTCTAAAGTCCTTAACTGTGATGGATTACTAACTGTCACAGTAACAGCACACACTACACATGGCCTGATTTTAGAGTCTGATATCTCAACAGGTAAAAATGTAGAACCAGATGTTTCTATTTCATCATTTTGGAATTTAGGAGAACCTACTACAGACAATGCTGTGACTTGTACTTTATGAGAACCAGAATGCTTATACTCAGAAAGGGGATCTGCTTCTGAATTAAGTGCCCTTAAATATGATGATAAATTTCTTGTAGAACCAAACTGAATAGAATCTTTGTTATTTATTTCTTGGTCTATAGGAGCAACATAAAACGATACCTCCCTCTGCAAAAAATATATTACATGAAGATATTTTTATAAAAGATTATTATTGGTGTTGTGGTTATCATTATTATTGTTGGTGTTATTGTTGTTAATATTGCTATTATAGTATTACTATATAATATTGCCATTATAATATTATTAAATATTACCTTTAACTGATTTGTTACATTCCAGACATTAATAAAACCACCACTGGAAGCTGTAGCTACAAGACCACTAACATTTGTAGTGCTAATCACATCTACAGAATCACCAGCTTCACATGCAGGAGCAGTAGCAAGAATAACAGACAAAGGAACATTTTGTGTGTATTCTCCTTTGACAAATGGACATGCCGGAGAATGACGTCCATGTTCTGACCAAGGTTCATCTGTTGGTTCCCAACAAATTAAACAGACATTGCATGTAAAGCACATTATCTTATCATCACCTGTTGCATTTGGCTGATGATAAAAACCAGCCTGTGCCATTTGATCTGGCAAAGCCCACCTGAAGAACAATATTCATATACTATATTTCTTTATGTTATTAACAAAACATAGTGGTAAAATTTTATACTTGTAATTCATATGTGGCCATTTTGAAAAAGTATCTCGACGTGTTGCTTCACTAAACATTAATGCTTTATCGGTAGGACCTCCTTCTAATGGCAGGCCTGGTAATAGGCCATTTAATCGTTCATTAATGGCAGAAGCAACTGGCAATGCTGGAATATACCTGTTTAATCCTTTCAATTCCGTTACTAATCCTGAGCACACAAGTTTCAAAGAACTATGTGGTAATTCCAGACATACTGTATTCCACTATTATAAATAGAATAAATTAATATTCTAATATTAATTCATTCAACAGCTTAAAATTATAATATTTATTTATTTGTTATATTTACTTTTTGAGCTTTAATTCCCTTTTTCTGATTTGCTTCTATTGTAAAGGTTTTACTTATTAATTCTTCTTTTACTTCTAGCACATGATCTACGCCTGGTAACTCTACACATCGTAGACACTGATATAATAAAGTAGCTTCGGAAAACAATAACTCTAATTTTACAATGTCTTCACTTCTTGAAACAGGTGTTTGTAAAAGTGTGTCCAAAAAAAGCACCCCATTATAATCACTACGCACTCCAATTCCTCTTCCATCTGTATATAATATTTTATTTATACCATTTGACAAATATGTGCCTTGAAGTTTTCCATTTAATTTTCCTACAAAAATAAAATTTTTGTACCAAAATATCTTGTTTATTAACCTAAATTTTACTTATCATAAATCTTAAATACATGAACACAAAAATACAGAAACAATTAATGATGAGCATTATACCAAATTTCTTGAAAATTATTATTATGAAAAAAATTAATAGTATTACAAAAATTAATATACATCATATATAAATTATACCTCAATAATACATAGCAAAAACGTTCTTCGCAAAAACCAAACGTAATTGCAAATAAAATAATAATATTAATTATGATCTTATTTAACATGATGAAATAACGGTATAAATTCGATAACATCATAAAAAATACTAAATCAATGACAAAAATAAATTAATTATACAAAAATTAATCAGTTTATTAAAATCATTAAGATTAGAAAAACTTTAGTCACGCCTGACGTTTTGTATGCGTATACGACCTTGACCATGAAGCGTAATTGAACGTTACAAATAAATTATTTACAAGATTTGTAATAAAATGATTTATTATCAATACCAAATCCTTCTGTATGAAATACAAATGAACTAAAATGCTTACCGGATAAAGAACTTTTTTGTAAAATTACTCCTGATTTGACATCAAATACATATACTTGCGCACTACCAGTGGTAATTAGTAACACATTTAGATTAGCATGATAGATTATACTTTTACACTCAGTATCCACATTTAAGTAACCGTCTTCTTTTAATAACCACGGATCATCATCAGCCATTTTGCTTATACAGATTACAATTCTCAAAAAATTTGCCTAATGCGCGAACATCACAAAAAACATGGCGTACTCATCACCGCCATCTTTGAGTAGAACGTCAGCAAATCGCTGTGAAGTTAACTAATAACTAGCAAACGATTAATCTGATAACGATACATCGATATACAATTCTTCGATTTTTAAAACTAGCAGTATAAATGTATTTTTAGATATTATGGCAAAAGATGATATTATTTTATGAATACCTTAATTGAATAGTAAATTTAATAATATTTAAACATTTATTCATACTTAAAATAAATAGTTGATTAAATTAATCAACCATCAAAACGAACTTGCAATTAAAAGAAATATTCTAAATACCAGAAAAAAGTAGAGATTTATGCATGTTAGTAACATTTTCTTTATATTTTTCGCAAAATGAACAAATTTTTATGAAAATAAAAATATAAATGACATTCATATTAAATATTACAATAAAAAATTAAATATAACTTCAACTATGTGTTTAAATTTACAATTACAGCTTTTAAATATTTGAAAATCAGAAATTTAAATGTAATATATTGAATATATTGCAATATATGAATACCATACCAAACATTTAAAATTGATTATAATTTACATACAAATTATTAAGTATTTCGATATATTTTAACAACTTAAACATATTTTTAGGATTCATAACTCTACAGACTGTTCTTTAGATTACTTTAGAGTACATATTGGAAGTATATAAATGATCATTCAATCATGAATTTTCACAAGTATTTAACAATGAATTACTTTCATTATGTGCTTGTATTATTTTGTGAAAGATATTCATTCTGTCTGACATAATAATTATACATTGTATAAAAAAAGATAGAGTATACACTATAAATTTCATTTGTATAATTATTAGAAATTTATTAAAAAATATAACTTGTTTCAATCACAAATGAAACCTAATTTAAAATTTTATTTTATTTAAATTTTTAATGTCTTCTTTTTTAATAGATGTTAACTCTAATAAATTAATTATAAAAAATTAATAATATGGTTTTATCTGTAAGACTTTATTACTGAAGTTCAAAATAATTTTTAAAACCTGTATCTATATATGATGATATAAATCTGTGTATTAAATGCAGTAAATTTCTGGCCTTTAAAATGAAGAAAAAATTATACAACACCATATTATATTATATACAAATAAACTAGTTTTTTTTTATTACGTAATTATGTACTATAAACATTTTTAATATAATACTTTTAAGTTCTAAGCAGTTTAGAGGTTTTGACTTCCTTTAGTTCATCCAAGAATTTTTGTACATTTTCTCTTCGTTGCTTCATAAATTCTTCATGTTCTACTGGATCTAATGTTCGTACAATTTGAATTCCACAAGTTCGAGCTATACCAACAAGCATTTGACAAATCTGTTCTAGACTTAACAATGCTAATGGCGGATCTTCTGCTTTAATACAAGCAATTTCATATAAATGTTTAAATGTTATTTTTCCTGCTATTTCCCCTGAATAATATTACAATTTGATTAATGCATATTTATACATTCATTCTATATCTTTACTGTTACAATATTCAATTTACCTTTCATTATTTTTCCTTTGTCAATCCCAGCTGCTTGTTTTAAAAAAAAAGTTGCTGGTGGTTTATGAATTACTAAATTATAAGTTCCATCTGATTTTACTTTGACACGACATGGTAAAGGTATGCCCTTTTTAATATCTTCTGTTTTTTGGTTAAAATCTTTACAGAAATTTGCTACATTAATATTTCTCTAAAAGTAATAACACCAATCTATTAAACATATTAAAAACTATATATTTTTTATAAAACTTAAAATAATCGCATTGTTCAATCTTTTTTAAATTTAGCATTTTATATACGCTGCATCTACTACAGAGTTATTAATTTGTTTTCGTGTAAAATAGAAATAAATTGCATATGCGCGATACAATGAAATACTACAAATTTTAAATATGAAGTCTTTTAACCTGTCCAAGTTGTGATCCTAATGGTGGTTTAGGATTTGCCATTCCTGCAGGGATAGTTACCCTTAAAGGTGAAGAATGTTCTACTTTCTTCATTGTTTTCATTTTATTCCCCTTTCTAATTATTTTGGACATTTTTGTAAACTTTTGTTAAATAATTTTTACAATTTTAGTATACAGTATAAACACATGTATAATTCGATAGTGTAATATATAGTTATTTTATCAGGCTGACCAAACTTGGAAAAGAACTTTACTATACTACAAATAAACATTATCAATTGATGTGAGATTTATGATAAAGCACAAACAAATTTTAAAAAATATTATTGAATTAATTATTTATAATCAGTATAATTTTTTTAGAAAATTTAATCAAATTAGTCAGTAACGTCATCAAAATGGGTAAGCGTCAACATCAAAAAGATAAAATGTAAGTTTCTTTACAAATTTATTTAGGTTATGATAAAGAAGTTATCATAACTTTACTTAAATTACTTATATTTATTACATTTATAGGTATCTGACATATACAGAATGGACAACATTATATGGAGGAAAAAGATCTGGATCTCTCACTGGAGCAAGTGAAGATACAACATTTCGTCGTTTACCTTATGATCATTGTTGTTTAACTTTACAGCCTTTTCAACATCCTTATTCTGATTTACAAGGAAATATTTTTGAACTGGAAGCAATATTAGAATACATAAAAAGATATAAGCATAATCCTATTACAGGAAAACCATTAGATGCAAAAACTTTAATAAAACTTCATTTTCACAAGAATGCCGAAGGACAATATCATTGTCCAGTTCTTTTTAAATTATTTACTAAGCATTCTCATATTGTTGCTATTAAAACAACAGGAAATGTATTTTCATACGAGGTAAAAAATTATTAATGAGAAAGACAGTTGTGTAATGTAAGAGATAATTATTTATAATAATTTAATTTATAATAATCTTTTTGTAGGCAATAGAACAGTTGAATATAAAAACACGTAACTGGAAAGATTTAATAAATGATCAACCTTTTACACGAAATGATATTATTATCATACAAGATCCAAATAATGTGATGAAGTTTAATTTATCTACCTTTCATCATATTAAAAATAATATAAAACTTGAAGATGAAGGTAATATTTTATATTTTAAAATGTAAATTTTAATTTCGTATAATAATAATTTTATGTATATTGAAATGCTAACATCATTGTTGCAGAAATTATGAAAGAACGTAACAATCCAAATGCAAAATTAAAAACTGTATCTATGGAAACTAAAGAAATATTAGCTGAATTAGCTAAAGAGTATAAACAAAGTGAAACTAAACAAATAATCTCCAAACCAAAAGCAGATAAATTTAATGCAGTTTGTATATTAATATTTCCTTTTAATTTATCAAATATAACATTTAAAAACAAAAATTTTTAACTGTAGGCACACTATTCCACTGGTGCAGTTGCTGCTGGATTTACATCAACAGTAATGCCAACAGAAACTACACATCAGGCAGCAGTTATTGCAGAAGATTTAGTGCGATATGAAAGAGTTAAAAAGAAAGGCAAGAATTAGTACTACTAATTTAAGTGTTAACTCCATGTTTAACATTAATTTTTCAGGATATGTAAGGTTAGTCATGAACTTTGGTGCTTTAAACCTAGAACTTCATTGTGATCTTGTTCCAAAAACTTGTGAAAATTTTATAAAACATTGTCAAAATGGTTACTACAATGGAACAAAGTTTCATAGGTCTATAAGGAATTTCATGGTAAATATATAAACATTTTAAATAACAAGTTTATAAATACCAAGAATGTAAATGTTATTCTATTCAGATACAAGGAGGTGACCCTACAAACACTGGTAATGGAGGAACATCGATTTGGGGTAAATCATTCGAAGATGAATTCAAACCAAATTTGATTCATCAAGGAAGAGGAATTTTGTCAATGGCAAATTCTGGACCAAATACAAATGGATCACAATTGTATATATTTTATAACAAATTCATATATATTTACAAGCATAATTCCATTAGATCTTAATATCTTTTACTTTACTTAATTACAGTTTCATTACATTTCGATCATGCAGACATTTAGATCGCAAACATACTGTTTTTGGAAAGACAGTAGGTGGATTGGAAACATTAAATGCTATTGAAAAGATTGAAGTAGATAACAAAGATAGACCAATAGAAGATATAATAATACAAAAAGCTCAAGTATTCGTTGATCCTTTCCAAGAAGCAGATGAACAATTAGCTGCTGAACGCGCAGCTGAAATTGAACGATTGACACAAGAAGCTACAAAAAATAAGTCAAATAACAAAATAGGCAAAAATGACGTATTAAAAGTGTATCGATCAGGCGTGGGAAAATATATAAAACCAAACAAAGAAGAAGAGAAGTAAATTCATGTTACATACATATTTACATACTAACGAATTTTTAGAATAGTAGTAATCGTTAATTTATTTTCAGGATAGATAAAGAAGAGACGAATATAGCACCTACAATTAAAAAAAAGAAGGTGATGACAAACTCATTTGGGGATTTTTCATCTTGGTAGCTGTATAAATTATAGAAAAACATATATGATTATAAATTATTTAAAATCTTGTATCTTAAATATTAATTTTAGTCTTTATTCTAAGTGTAAATAATTTTTATAATTATATAAAATTAAGCTATCTTTATACTTTTATTCTTTCTATATTATGTATAAAATATACAAAAAAGTATATAATTTATATATATGAATAAGTAGAAAAATAATGAAATAAAAATAAGTATTTTTTTCATGACATTATAAACAGCAATTTTGTCTTAATAATAATTATATTTCAATATTCTACACAAATACTGTACAAATTTAATTGATTGTATGAAGGTTAGACAATGCAGTTATGAACTAAGGATCGGATTCTCCATATTTGATGTTTGCTTTACCCAACTGTAAGAAGCAAATTGATTGTTCAATTTTTATATATTTTACTGTAATTCCAATTTCAAATTATTACGAGTTGAGTGTATTTTGTGCAACAATATCTTCAGGGTTAATATATATATTGAACATGGATGATTTAGGTGAGTAAGATGAAGTTTAAATACGAAAATACGATGAGATAACCTCAAATTTGAGATAACCACACTGTCAGATATTTATATTTTTGAGAATTTTTATCAAATATTATTTAGTTACATGGATTATTTATATTTTTGGTAGATTTTAACTTTATTTTTTGGTTTAGAATATTTAAAAATATAAAAAGTAATATATATTTACCTTGATTGTATTAAAAATTTTCAAAACATAATATCAATAAAACGATAATACAATCATATATCTACATTTATTTGTTCATTATATGATATTTATGTGTGAACAAATATTACTAATGAAAGGTGTTGAAAGTATTCAAAAATGCAAATTTATCTAATATATTTAATTACTTGTTAATTCAGTTCAACTTTTTATAGCTTTTGTTACTATGTACATTTATAAATATAAAAGGTGTATACGTAATTTAACTTTTCATGATTAAATTTTTGTTATTACATTTACTTTTTTTACAGTAATTTTCATTATAACAATCTATTCTATATAATTTATAATAATCTTTATAATATATTTAATTTAAAGTTGACAAATGTTTGATTTAGTTATAAATTTTTATTAAAGACTGTAATGTGTGAGAACTATGAAAAGTGTAATTAGGTAACTATTATTTTAATTTTCATAGTAATATTTCGTTATGTCACCGTTATGTGTATTGTATGCCAATTCATCCCTAATGATTCAAATAATCAATACTCATGCAATTAAAAATTTCTGTGTAATATAAATTTTTGTATTTATATAGCACATTAGTTATTGTATTTATGTAACCAGTTTAGTCTAAATCATATAATCATATGTATTTGTAATGATTTTTTATTATTATGTATTTATAGTTATCTCAAATGAAAATTTAATCACCATTAATAGTATTAATATATTCGATCGATTACTATTCCTTACATAATTTTGATTGAGTAATTTTAATTTTTATATGAAATTATAATTTTTAAACATTTCTGGTACCTCGAATAATATATCGACAGAAAATTTAAAAAATGTTTGAAAATTCAAGAAATGCAACTAATGATGTGTGATACAGTTTACCGGAAGACACTTTTCGAAATCTGCATAATATTGCAAGTTTACTCTGAACTGTTGTGCCAACGATTCTACGTATTTTTAGTGTATTTCACGGCGCCGTTGTCCTCTTGTTATGCCGTTGAGGGGAGAGGATGGATAACATGAGTGCGGGCGAGCGCTTGAAATACACTTGTACGTTTGAACTTCTCGTTTTCCTTTGATCAAATTCGGTCTATTCACGCGGAGTCTATATCTCAGCTACCGTTTTGTTGCATTTTAACAAAGGAGTTGAAAATTTCTTTTAACATTATAGACAAGAAAAGCGTATTCATTCAGTATTTTATGTACATTTTCAATAACATGTGTGCGTGCAAGTTCATTTATTGTAGGTAGTAATGAATTTAAATGTGTGTGCAAAATAATCGAACCTATGATTCAGATAATGATCGATCGATTGTAGCTCTCATTTTTCAAATTACATTAATTTCTTTCCTTATTTTTTAAATCTCTTTATCTATTTGCGGGTCTGTATGTATAAAATTCACAGACGGCATTCAACAAGTGGCCGTTTAATGTGTGCATCATCCCCACTACTAATCGATCGTCTACACAGCTCGGTCGTTCGCGATAGACAGTGAAGAGAAGCATTACCGCAGTAAAAGTGCTACATAATAGCATACATACTTGTACGTGTACGCGATGAATTCGTGAATCTATTTGAATTGACATAAAAAAATTACACGAACAGAAGTGTGATCACATTTTTAAGTGCTACGTTAAAATTAATAATGGCTATGGATCGAACAATGTATGGAAAAGTAGAACCAAGCTCTATCTATCAGCCTTATAAAATCACCATCAAAAAAGGTTCACCTCCAGGATGTGAGTGAATAACTTTTTTCATATTTGATCTTTTATCAAAGTTTAGCATGGTTTTAAAATCTTTAAAACGCTTTTAATGATTATGGATATGAGTGTGCATATATGCAAACTTTTTGCATATATAATTAGAATATCGAGCAAAATCGTCAGTTAAAAATCGTTCTCGATATTTTTTCTTATGAAATTAACATAAAGGCATTAATTTATATATCGATCTAGTATCTGCGTTGCTTTGCACTCACGCAGCTCTGCGTGATAACATAATGTGAACTTTTAAATTAGACTCAATTGCTTTTGATGGAACTTTTTTTGTCAGTTTATAAAATACATTAAAACGTTTTGAAACGAATAAATTAGTTGCACGTCTGTTAAATGCTTTTACACAAATACGTAATTCTAAAAATTAGTTTAAGAATTTAGTTTAATTTAATAGTATGATGTGATAACCTCTAACTCAACCGTAAGCCGCTATTAAGTAATAAAGTGATCAGTTAACTTTATTCGCGTATACTTCTTGAATTTTTGATTTCATACTTAAAGAAATTTATAGTGTTCTTGAACTACTAGTGGAAATTAATCTTTGGCATATTTTCAAAGGTTAAGGCGCAATATAGCTAATTCAAAAAAATATAGAGCTTCGTGGTTCTTTTTAATAATTTATAAAATGATTCTCGGGATTAAGAAAAATGCATTAATTCAAACATATTTTTGAGAAATTTTTTAAAAGTAACGAATGCATTTTTTTTAACAGTTTTATAATACATAATATGTGAATGTTAATTATTTTTAAACTACACATTTAATTCTATCTAAAGGGATGACTCATGATGCAACAGTTCACATCATTTTTTTGGAATACCTTTCACCTACAATGTGGGTCGCCTTGACACTAAACTTTTTGAAATAATTCTTAAAGTTATTATTTACAAATACTCTTGTTATGAAAATCTATGAAAAAATGCAGTAATTGATATCTATGTGTATGGACAGAAGTTTGAATTAAAAATATTGTATCGATTTTTTTGGAGTGGCGTCATCTATTGACCATACTGGAATTAAGATCCGTTGCTGTATCGACACAAGGGATCAATTTTATCGATAGTGCTTTTCTTGTTATATCACAATGGCTGATTCCTGTAGTTTGCTGTCAATATCTAAAGTGACGAACTTGAAATGTGTGTGAGTTACGTTTATAACTTTTTATCTACCGTTAAATAATTTGTTTTATATAAATCTTACATAGAAAATGAAATACTTTGATAGCGGTGTATATAATAAACAATAATACGATGGCTGTTATTTATATCATGCATTTCTACTTTCAGTTACAATATATCAGCTACTGAAAGTCCATTTGTTAGAAGTGCAGGAAACTACGCTTATTTATTATGCATACCACTGCTTGAAAGATCATATTATAATGATCCGATATATGCGTAGGCATCTCTTCCTTGAACAAACCTTGACTTAATCTATACATATCCATATCAGGCACGATAGTATGTGATTTAACTACCTACACTTACAATTTACAATCAACAACGTATGTAACTATTTGAGTGGATCAATGTAATCCATTCACATTGCAATTTAAGTTTCTTTTTTCTTTATTTTTTTTTTTTGTCTTTCTTTTGCGAAAGAATTCGTGAATCTTGATCAAAAGATATTACTCTTCTAAAGAAAACTCTGAATAGCAGGAGAAAACTGTGAGAAGATGATAGGTAGTTGAAGTTATTTTTGGGAAATTTGTCGTTATGAATGTAGATGGAAACGTTTATATATAAGCATTGGTGTAAACGAAGGTGCGCAATAGAGAAGAACAAGGTTGAAAAGAGAGAGGGAGAAGAACAGGGATAAAGGAAGAAGGAGATGGATTCACGTAACACGGATTCTGTAGATACAATCTAAGAAACACGTGCTGCCAGTTCTACCTGATCTCGCAGCACATACGTGCCTTCTAGCGATTACTTCTTTGCGTGCTCATTATCTTCAATAGTTGCACGTGACAATAATTTAAAGTGGTATGAAATAATTTTGTTTCATATTTATATGTTTCTGTAATTATGTAGGTTAATCGTAATACGATTTCGTTGAATTATTTGAAGTGTCGTAACATTTTCATCTATGATATAGATAGTTACATCTATGAGATAAATATTTATTTATACACTCGATAGTGGCAATAAGAGATAAATAGTAATTGGCAAGATATTTATTTTGAATATTTTCTTTGACCTAATCAAGATTTCATAACTATTACTGTTCCCTTTGTGTTTGTATTTCTCAATTCATAACCTCACAACCAATGAGAAATCAGTGTCCAGTGATCATTTGTTAAGTCTGTATAAGTTGATTTGAGTCGGACATAAAACATTGCGCGTTTGAAGTTCCAGTTGTTATTCTATTTTTCACAGGTATATTAAACTCTAACAAAATTTAATCTTATTTGATTCAATGTCGTATTACTGAAAACACAGCGATATGACTGACATTATGAGACCTGTATCACCGATTACTATGACTCGTTTGGCAACGATCCAAAGACATGCACGCTGGGAACAATATATAAGTAAGTAACTATGGAGTCAATGGGAATACAAATTAATGACAAAAATTACTAACTTTGTCTATATATAGAAATCGATATGCAAATTATAATTACATCGAATTCTAAGTGTACCATGACGTACTTCTATTAGAATGAATTTTTTTTTTTCGTTTAACAGTTATGTCAAATATTAATAATAATAATACACAATTGGTGTAATTTATTAAAGGCTCATATATTTTTTTTTAAACACGGAAAGCTATGACTTTTTCGCAAAATTGATTACCAAGTGTCCAGCGTAATTATCCTCAAGGAATATTTAATTTCACAGAAATTTATGACGGTGGTGCGTTACGCATATCGTGTAATATTAATGTTCAAATTGACTGTATGATTCAGAAGTACAAAATAGATCAGGGGAAGCTCGGTAGGCTTCCTGCCAACGGTGAACCTCATTCAAGCTCGCTTTTATATTAACCAAACATCGACATAAAACGAATACGAAATTCAACAGTTTTATTATCAAATTAACGATGAAAACATTAGAAAAATGTAATGAAAAAAATAACAATATTAATATCCTTACTTTACAATGTTCAAGAATAAATCACTGTTTCTTTATAATCTACTTTATCGACAAAGCAAACACTAAATGCATATATTCATATCTTTCGAAAAGAAACAATAAATGCGTATGTATTTTGCTACGGCTTTGCAACGTTTAAATAACGATATCGAACATCTAGAATCCAATTCAAAGAACACTTTAATATTCACAGGAGAACACATCCATTCGAGTCACAGCTGTCCAGTTTAAGTTCCGCTCGTAAGTCATTTCTTCGTAGCTGGCTAGGTTACTTTTCCTTCGACTCGAAGCAACCTCGGATTTCTACTTCCCTTGTTGCGAGAATACTCCCTCCATCTGTTCTTTCTCCTTCTCCAGCCCGGTTTGCCTCCTCCAGGCTTCTATTCTCCGGTTTCGAAGCCGGTCGCTTTACTGAGAACTTGATTGACAATCAGTACCGTTTTGTCGATCGTCAAAGGTTTGCGTGCACAAATTTCACCGATATTCCTATAAACACGTGACAATTTTCTCTCCCCCCTCTCTTTCTCTCTCTTCCTTTCTCTCTCTTCCTCTCTCTCTCTCCCTCCCTCTCTCTCTCTCTCTCTCTCTCTCTCTCTCTCTCTCTCTCTCTCTCTCTATCGTGATTTTTCATCGCCGTGGAAAAAGTGCAAAACAGACATAAACAGAGAGAAAGGAATGTATCATTCGTGTCTCAGTCGATTATCAGAAAGTAAACAGATATAAAATATTTATACGAACAGTTGTTAAAAATTCCGCATAACCTGCAAATACTGCCAGTGCTTAACAATCAACGATTTCTACAACGATCATTTCGATTCCTTTTCACAATTTCCAAGTAATCCCAAATTTGTGAATAAAAGTGTAGAAGCTATTCGATTCCACGAATATCCCGTACGCATTGCTTTTGATTCGACCGGAAATTCGTGGCAAAGTTCGACGTTCTCGGAACAGTGGGTGTGTCGCGGTTTGTCTTACGATGGAACCAGGATGCGAGTCGCAGGCTGGAGCTGATAATCTTTACGAATCTTATAGCATCGATAAAACGGAAACAAACCTTTTAAGCCTTGGTAAATGATTGATTATTTTTTCGATGTTTTGATGATTTCAGTGTTCGTGTAAGATCACCATGTACGCTTATCTCGATACTTTACTCCTTAAACAGTGCTCACGTCATCGTTTTTTTTCTCAATATTCTGCCGTGGGTTATTCTAAAATACATTTTCAGTGTAACTATTTTTATATTAAGTTTAAACGTTTATAATCAACCGATGCAATCAAGAGAGTATTAATATAGAATTACTTTAATCATAAAAAGAAATTTATATTTAAAAAGCATTGAAAGTATTTTAGTAAATGAATTATGTTAAGATGGTTACTTGTTGAACTAATTAATTTTTGGATAGTTTTTCAACGAACTAGGTTATATTTACATTCATTCAATAGTAGCAATGCTTGTAATTTACTTCGATAAAAACTTAATATACTTACCGACGTTGCTGACATCATCCTTGTTATTGAAGCAATGCAGACTACTGTTTTATAAGCGTTGCTATATATACATATACATACAAAAACAATTCTTATAAACTTGAAACAATATTTGAAGAATATCGAGTTTTGCTTTACCTTTCATGTAACATCAGCCAATTTGTTATTTCTGGCGAGAAGATAATTTCATTGTCCTCTTACTATAATGAGATATAATTGAAGATACTTTTTACGTTTACGCTTACAGGATTGATTTGCTGATTTCAGATGCTTTACTGGCAGACCTGCAAAATACAGTGTCGTCGGAAGGAAACCATGTCGGTAGTAACGCGACTCCTGGCTACGGATCACTGAACGGTGCACGAACTGCTTATAGATCCTACGATAATCGAACTTCTCCTCTTCCGCCACAATCGGTATGTGAATTTTGTCATATTTCATATGTTAACAAATTTGATTCTTCTTTTCAATTTACACCAATGATTTAAACGCCATTGTTGTTAAATGTAAACATCAACTACGTATAGTTTATTAAACAACACTTGAATATACCACATATATATATCTTGATTCAGAGAACAAACGAAGTATATGAGTATCTAATAATTTCCTTGATAAATCTGAAAATATATTTATTACAATAAATTAATAGATTATAATGTTTAACCTAATCATAAATCATAGGTTTGTCTTATTAGTGATAAATTCTAAAAATTAATTACAAGCCTAATGTTCGGCGTTACTTTATCGACAGATGACAGAAACTCGATTAATTTGGGTTTCAGCTTCGTAAGATAGATGGCAGGAGTGACACGTTTTGCATGTCGCTTCGTTCTCGCGGTTTCATTTTAAATTTCGCGTGACCTTCCTTTAATTTTCTGTGATGTCTCAAAATGAAGCAATGAAACATTATAGAAACTTTTTTGGAAAACAAAATTGGCAGAATGAAAAAAATAATTAAGGTTTTATGACTTTATACGTTTAATGGTAAAAATTAGCGAACACGTCCAATTACTAGCATTTTTTGCATTTGTTGAAGCCAATTTTGTATCGCTATCGTTCTTGTAACGTATTTTTAGAGGTGACCATGGAAACGGCGCCACTCGACATGTTTGAAGTTGTCGAAGTGGAGTGGTCCCACATCACTTTATTGAAAATACAGTCAAAACAAAAATATCTTCTTCCAATTTCAGAACAAATTTGAAAGGAACTTTGCAAATGAGCAACTATGCGAAATAGATACATTCCAGAGATACGTGTGACGCAGAGGATTGACTAAAATTAGAATCGATATTGCCTCTAAAATTATCCACACGAGGGTCGTCGAGCCGCAAAAACTATAGATTCATAAAAAATGGATATACCATGAAGAATAAACGCGTATTACATGTGTGTATTCGCGTTTCTTTCTTTTAATTGTTCGATCGTTTATGGTCATGAAAATATACCCAACGACCTAGTTATCGATTCGCAATTTCACGGTTAATCGACTCTGAAATGTTTCACGGTGATGAATCGCATTGGATTCCGTCTAGACTATTAGCATTCGGAACTATTAACGGCATTCGATCATCTCGCAGGAAATTGACCAAATACCTATGATACACGCTTTCATTTATTATTGCGTATTAAACGAATAAATAAATAAGGTTCTAAAAATTCACTAAAATTTCCACTAAAATTACTACAAACCGTTGGAAATAAATTTTCAATTATTCGAATCTCTCTCTATCTTACGAAGCAGATAGAAACATAAAATAACACGAACGTTGAAAACTAAGAGTTCTTGAGCTAGACGGCCGTTTATCGATTTTTACTGTGTAATACCTGTTACGTTCCCTGGTGGCGCTATCGATTGTTCTCTGGTAAAAGCGACGATCCATCTATTATTCAGATTTTCGACGGTTCAGTTGACTATAGAGTTTCTCGGTTTGTAAGCAACGACGTTTCCAACGCGCCAACTGCACAGTAACCAATTGCCAAATCGGATTTCTGTTTTAAAGTACAACTTCATTTGAGATTTAATTGCTAGATTTCGTTGCCGAGTTTCTTGATCATTTTGTCCGTTTCCTTCTTGCGTAATACGTGATCAAAACGCGTTTTACTCATTTCTCGAAGTGATATTAGAACGGAAGCGTATATACGGAAGCGTATGCCAAATACCTGTTCCAACTGATTTCGTCCTACGTCAATCCTAGCTGCTCAGACTACAAAATTGAATAGAAAACTCGTTCGTTTAAATTTACTTTTGTATTTACTTCATCGATTTCTAGGGTCATCGTACAATTATGCACGCGTGGTGTTACATTTTCCTGCCATATTCAGCCATAAGAAAATATGGACGACAAATAAGTGTGTGCATAAGCAGATACGTTTTTAGACAATTTAACATTTAAATCACACATTTTTCCTTCGTTAAAAAATACAATTTTTCCTTCGTTAAAAAATACAATTTTTCCATCAGCTGGTAAATGAAAATGTTCGACCTCGCTAGAGTCTTCCTCGACATTGCAGTAAATATAGCAAATATCTTTTCGAACATCCCTGGAGCTTCGGCTTATAAATAGATTTTATTGCACCTATGAAAACCGTCGTCTTTCGTATCGATGCAAGAAAAAAGAGAAAGCCGAAGAAAGAAAGGGAGAAAAAATGATCATGGCCAATAGCGAATGTAACGTTGGTAATTTACGTGCCTTACTTCTCGGTTGTAGGTATAATACTTCACGGTATTTCTTGCCCGTTGACGGCGTAAATCATAAACATTGTCCGCGTGCATTTTCTTGGAACGATATCATGAAACTTCACCGTGGTGCGACGCGTATTGACGTACACATCTAAGTCGAGTATTCGACCATGATAAACGAGAAGTTGGCGAAAAGTTGTCGAATCGCGTACCATTTTCCTTTGATTCGAATTTAGCACGAAGCGAAACGAACGATTACGTATTCGCCTCTGTTACAATACAATGCGACTCTCGAGGACGTTCCGTAAATCATGCACAATCCATCGATTCGAGAATCGACAAAGGGATCCTTTCAACGAACGCGTTCGATATCTCGCGATTCTCGAATACTTTATTCTTTATGCTCGTCGACGATTCTCATTGGCTGAGGAGACTAACGTTGGAAAATACGATAGAAATCTTGTAGGAAAGTTTGCGTTCGGCCTATTTTCGTGAGTTTTGGTGAATTTGTGATTTATTAAGTTTCTCGTGTCACTGTAGATCGCGTCGGATTATAGGCTCGTGTTTATTTTTTGATCGACTAACCTTGACGAGCGAAACGCTCGCAGGCTACGATTCGATATATCCGCGGAACAGATCGAAAAGATTTTAAGCAGGGTTCTACAGGATTCCCGATGTACCGCGACATGTTGTTCTCTTCACTGATGATTCGCTGTAGATATTTTTGGAACGACACTCACCAAGCAACCTAGTTTCCACTATCAGGATATATCGTCCAGTGTCACTTTATCGTGGAAACATGAGATAAAAAAAAAGGAAAGAAAGAAAAAAGAAAAAGGAGGCACTCACGACTAGAATTGATCTAATAAACGGTCCTAATAAAACATCACGCAACGTGTCCTTCTCGCTTGTTAACACATCGTCGACGGCAGCCATGAATTGGCATTTTCTATTTTTCAAATATGGCAGACATGAATCGATGTTTTTTATTTTTCTAATGTCGGAAAAATTTTCGCGACTATCACAGTTAAAGAACACAGGTAGGTGTCATCGATAATTGTATCGATCGATTTTGACGAAAAATATCGTTCAATAAAATATTTTCATCTTTTCAAATAGGTGCATGCAAATTCCAGATATTCGCCGAAAATGTAACGAAACTGTGACTGGGCCCGCTTTACGGTATACCCCGAACAATGTGTTAATTATCCAGATTATCTAACCGAATCGAGATCGAGTTGGAACAACGTCGATTTGGTTCTGGTCGTTGCTCGTAGTGGTTAGCTCGCCGGAACAAATTCGAGGTGGTTCTCTTGCTCGTGGATTTTGCAACAAACGAGAAATCTTGGTCGGTTTGGCGGGCAAGTTTCTATTAAAAGTGTATGACGCCTTGTCCTCCGCGCGTCCACCTAATTGATAATATATTTACAAAATTCCGCGCAGCATCTAATGACATCATGTTTTGAAATAATATGCTTTTGCGGGAACTTGGCAGCCAAGCTACGCCATTATTTTTCTTTTCTCCTCGTTCTTCCCTTAACTAGCGAACAAACAGAGCCACGCCACCGACAAGAGCATCGGTGCTTTCCTTTTTTCTTCTTCCACCCGTTTAAGATCAAGTCTGACTAAACGAACAAATGCTAAATTTACTGTTCCACCGGCTGATGAATTATTGCTCTGCAATGTCTAAAAATACCTAGTCGAGGAACCGGCAAAAAATGTTGAAGTTAAACATCGATGATAAACAATGAGGAAGCGCTCATCGATAGCTAGAGATGAATTGTTTCAGCCGACTTATCAGAACCGGGAAGCCATCGAGGAGAGCATCGCGAAAAGTAGTGCCGGTGGGAAAATGCCATCTCTAAACAACAACCTCTCGGAATTGGACACGTTGCTTCAAGATTTAAGCAACGCTCGTTACAATGCTCATTATCAGGAAAGAGGTCAGCATCCTATTTTTGTATCTTTCGTTTAGATGGTTTCCGAGCTAGAGCAGAGTTTATATAGGCTAGAGTTTAGGTGAAACCTTCGCTATGTGATGATTGAAATATCGATGATCGTAGAGAATCGCGTTTCCTCGGGAGGAATGAATGGAGACACTAGCCCACTGCTTCGTTCTCCAAGCAGTATGTCAGCCTCGAGGCCCACCGTCGATTCATTACTCGAAGAATTAAGCACTGCGGTGCCAAACGGGTAAGCTCTCTCTTCTTTCACTACATAAATTTTGGGGAGGGGCGAAGAAGGGAGGAAAAGGGAATAGAAAGCACGATCGCGAAGCCGATCGCAATCGAGACTAACGCGATTTCCTTGGTCAGGGATTATCCTTCCGATGGCAGGGTGAAAGTTACCATTCAGGAAACGTCCACGGAGATTCAACCCGTGTATGACGGTTATCCTTCCAGGCAGCACGGATCGTTGAATCGCAGCGAGGTCCAGAGGAACTATACCAATGGTCACACCGCCAGTAATGCTACCAAGGAGCTTGACGATTTAATGGCTTCTCTATCCGAATTCAAGGTACGTGTTGATTATCGAAATCGGTCGCGTCGTGTTCTCCCTACCGATACACGATCTCCAAACCACCTACGAACAAATGGCTATTATGTAATCACTATATACCTTGACAGTGGAAGCAATAAGCTTTTGTAATGTTTGCTTACTATTAAAGTCACTACAGAATAAGAAAACAGTGCCGTTAAAACTATCCCTGCCCATTCTTGGCTCCCTAGGTTACCAAAATAACTTCCATTCCACCATCCACCATTTACCACCAGTCGACCATCCACACGTCCTCTCTCTCTCCTTCAAGCGTCTCCTTTTCTTCGTCTCCGCCGATTTTCCGTGGAAGGGGAGGGAAAATATAGAAGGTGGGGATTATAGTGATCCACGAAATCTCTCAAAGCTTTCAGCCAGTCTGCAAGCTCATCTCTGGCAATCGACATCTCTCGCGGGTCTTTAAGATTTTCCAATCTTGATAGCTACCTTGACGCACCTTGACATTCCAACTTAATAACATCCCCCCGTAACGCTAACATTGTCACCGATATTTCGATTTTATTTTCTTAACAACTATCAAGAAGCTCGTCCACTTTCCATGCTTATTCTTCATCCTGCTTGATCTGTGAGAGTAGTCTAAAGCATTGTAACTCTCTATTCTATAAACTAGACTGGTTTCTTTACCGTGCAACGTACATTTCCAGATCAATAGTAGTTCCCATCAACATCAAACAGTGACCGATTCTCCATACGCTAAACCGAACAAAGCAACCAAGAGTTCGCAGAGCCCGCTGCCACCCGAGGGCACGCAGACACGAATTCACATCACCGAAACCCACACTACTCATCACTATCAACAGCAACACGGAGAGTCTTATTCGCCGCAGCCAGCGACTCAGACCAAACAGAATCAGTTGGATTCTATGCTAGGAAACCTTCAAGCCGATATGAGTCGTCAAGGAGTGAACACTACTCAAAAGGGTTGTTGCAGCGCTTGCGAGAAACCTATCGTGGGCCAAGTAAATCGAATCGAATCATCTTCGCTTTACTCCCTATTATTCATCATCCTCGTGACGATAATGTTTAACGTGTCTTTGATTACAGGTGATTACAGCTCTAGGCAAAACGTGGCACCCGGAACATTTCACGTGTACTCACTGCAACCAAGAACTGGGCACGCGAAATTTCTTCGAAAGAGAGGGAAATCCGTATTGTGAACCCGATTATCACAATCTTTTCTCGCCCCGTTGCGCCTACTGCAATGGCCCCATTTTAGACGTAAGGCGTCTAACAAAAGCCACACGCGGTGTTCCGATCTTAGTCTAGGGTTACAGCGTGTTCATCGTTCTCGTTATTTTCAGAAATGCGTAACCGCTCTGGAAAAAACTTGGCACACGGAGCACTTCTTTTGCGCTCAGTGTGGCAAACAATTTGGCGAAGAGGGGTTCCACGAGCGGGATGGAAAGCCGTACTGTCGGGAGGATTATTTTGATATGTTCGCTCCGAAATGCGGCGGATGTAATCGTGCTATCATGGAGAATTATATATCCGCTTTAAACAGTCAATGGCATCCGGACTGTTTCGTTTGCAGGGTAGGTTTCTCATTCGTGAATATTTACGTGTAACAGATTGTTTCCATTTACAGCGACGTTTTAGGATTAATGGGAATTATCGCGATGCAACTGTTTACATATTCAGTTGCTTTAAAATGTAAAACTTACAGGATTGCAAGAAGCCAGTTTCTGGAAAATCGTTTTATGCGATGGAGGGCAAACCCGTTTGCCCGAAATGCGTTGGTGTCGATGATGATGAAGAAGAAGAGGAAGAAGCATAAGCGATGCGAGCATTGCATTGCTTCCATTTCTCATGTAAAAAGCCCTATTGTTCCCTCTTTATGCTGTCAGGCTGCAAAATGAATGAGCCTGACCTTCCCCCAAATTTTTTCAACAGGTGATTTAGGTGACCAGAATGGAAAAATGCGCCAATTTGACTTCATCGTCGTTATATCTATCTTCCTCGAAATTCGTATCCATTTACATATACGGACGTACACACACATACACATACAGATAAATTTACAGTACACAGTATAAACTGTTAGGGCATCGTTAAGGGTGATAATAGATTTTTTGCGGGAAATTATTCGATGCAGCCGGAATTGATTTTTGCTGTCAATCTACGTTTTCTAGATAGAAAAATATTATTAACAATCGATCATTATGCTAATATTAATTGCTAGTATTGTATGCGAAATAAAAATAAATTAGAAAAAAAAAGAAAACAAAAAACACACACAACACAAGAGTTAGTTCGTGACTCTGACTCTGATGCTGTCGCTCGTCGCGTGTCTTTGCCAAAGGCAGGTGTGGTTGGACATCGGCATCTTATATTATTTCAATGACGTTTGTCAACGTTTAAATCTGTTATAAATTATACTTTTTCACACACGTATACATATACACATACACACATACATACGCATACGTACGCGTTGCTTCTTCATGTATAGTTAACTTGTTCTTCTATATCATGAAATCGTTAAGGAATCATTCACGAATGAAAAAACAGCATTATCATTTATCGTTTTAATATTCTTTGCAATCTCCGTTATTCAATTAAATGATATACTTTTCATTTTTTTTTTTTTTATTTTTTTTTTTTATTTTT